AAACTTTTAACATTGAATACTTGGGATTGAGTAAACATTAAGCTGATTGACTACTATGTTCGACACATAAAATTGAAAATTAAGGAAATTCTAATAATTTGTTATAGAACCAAGTTCCAGAAACTTTAGCTCGTTCATTTTACCTGGGAAGTTTCTGGTTGTGACTTGTTTAGTGTAAAGGAAACTATTCCTAACACTAGCTAGGGAACTGAAAGCCTATTATTTACCATGCAGAAGCCTGAGAATGCTATTGGACCATCATCAACTACTGATAATGAGAGTTCTGCTGGTGAATCACCTGCATCTCGTTCAAAAGCTTCTCAAAATCGGATGACACCTGATGAATTGAAGAATGGAAGGAGGAAATCAATTTGCAGAAAGGGAGATGATTCTTCAATTATTTACTCATCCCAAGAGAGAACGCAAGCAGGTGACTTATTTGGTGCAACTATGGATGGCCACCGTCTGCCTCCGGTAAGAAATTTACTGTCTGCATAATGATATTAAACAAATCTTTTTTTTTCTTCATAAAGAAAATAAGGACTTTCAAGGTTCTAGAGGTCATTGAATTCTGTAATGAGCGAGAATAAGGTGAAGGAATCAAAGTATGCATCACTGCCATATGAGCGAGATGCAGGAAATGGAATATGTAATCCTATTTCTAGTCAATCTAGGAAGTTATTAGAACTCTCCCTTGCACGATGGGGAAGAACTTTATTAAAAGGAATGTACTTTAGAAATATGAAATTTGGGAGGACGCTTTTTTCTCGATAATTCTCTTATTCTTTTATTACCTGGTTTTCTAATAACTACAAGCTAAGAATAAACCATAAGTATACATTGTCCCTCAATCAGGTACTCCTAATGTGTTGATGTCTTTTTGTTATACTCATCGAGCTGCATCTCTGTGGAATATATTTACTAATTAACTAATTCCATCTTTTTTCCACGACCTGATGACAATTCACATTATTTTAAGTATAGATAAATAGATTGGAACTTTTGTTAATGGGGACTACTACTTTTATGTGGATATCGTGTGATGGTTCTTTGTTTAACCCTTTCTTTTATGCCTATCTGATGAAACTTTTCTTGGTACCTCGGAAGTAATTGTTTATACTTACTGCTCTCAAGTTGTTTATGTGAGGGCTTGTTCTATATATGGATGAAGTTGCAAAACCACTCTCTGCTAGTTGAAATAAATAATCATTCATATATTTTTATTTCCTTGCCCTCGGGTTGATCGTTTCCTTCTCAAAAGAAACCTCTATAATTTCCACCATTTCACAACGCTATATAGCAATATGCTTTGTTGTCTTATTCTGCTACGTCATTGGAATAATTTTTACACTCAAATTATCTGGTGTTATTTTCAATTGGCGTGCTTTTATGTGGTGTAACACAGTGTTCTGAAACTCATCATGTTCTTGGGCTGCTTTTATTTCTCAGACTGGGACTACTCTTACTGACCAGATGGATCTCCTTTGTGAGCAAGTCAAGATGTTGGCTGGGGAGGTTGCCTTGTGTACTAGTTCACTGAAAAGACTGTCAGAGCAAGCAGCCAAGAACCCTGAAGATTCCCAAATCAAGGTTTGCTATATTAATTTTAGGCCACATTAACAGTTGAAGTATGAAGTCTGGAAGGCTCCTAAACATAGTAATGGATCACGTAGGAACATGTGCAAAAGTTGAAGGATGAAATTAGCGAAAAGAAGCTCCAGATACGTGTATTGGAGCAACGTATGATTGGATCCGTTGAATTGTCGCCACAAATGTCAAGTAGCATTGAATTGAATCAGGTAATTGTGTTCTCAGAGATGACCTCATAATTTAATCTGAACTAGAGGGCGGTCCAAGTTTACATGCACGTGTTCTTCCCAAATTTGTTGTGCTTTTTCCTTCTTTCGATTTACTTTATCTCAATCATGACTCTAATGTGGGTTTTTCTACTTTTATTGTAGGCCTTAGCAAAGCTCACTGCTCATCTTAATGAAAAAATTTTCGAACTCGAGGTTCGTCATCTTCTATTCCTGATATAAATTAATGTTAAATGGTATTAAAATATTAAATTTTCGTTTGTAAAAAAATCACCCTAAGTCACCTTTTCTGTGTGAACCCGACATTGAAGATTAAATCAGCAGACAATAGGATACTTCAGGAACAGCTGCAAATGAAGGTAATCTTTCCAAGTTTTTATCATTCCCTTCTTTGTTTGATTTACATTTTTGGTTTTCTACTTTTTGTAGACAGCAGAAAATGCGGAGTTGCAAGAGGCAATTCTAAGGGCGCAACAAGAGTCATCATCCAACTCTCAACAAAATGAAGATAATGAGGCTTCTCAGCATCTTCCAAACTACTCTGTACGGACGAAGGTTGAAGTACGGCATAAATACAGCCCATGGGAAGATAAATACGCCGAAGAAAACACCCCGACTAGTGTCATGAGCTTGAATAGAGTTTTGACCATGGACGACTCCACAGATTGCAACAGTGACAAGTTTTGTCATTCCCAAGTTATGCAGGTTAGAGGCTATAACAGTTATTCAATCATGCTAAATATTATCTTTTAGAGGACGGGTGTGATATCCCACGTCGGTTGGGGCGGAGAACAAAACACCCTTTATAGGGGTGTGGAAACGTCTCCCTAGCAGATGCATTTTATAAACCTTGAGGGGAAGCCCGAAAGGGAAAGCTCAAAGAGGACAATACGGCTAGTGTTGGGCTTGAGCTGTTACAAATGGTATCAGAGCCAGACATTGAGCGATGTGCTAGCGAGGAAGCTATTCCCTAAAGGGGGTAGACACGAGGCGGTGTCCTAAGGACGTTGGGCCTCAAAGGGGAGTAGATTTGGTGAGGGTCCCATATCGATTGGAGAAAGGAGCGAGTGCCAGTGAGGACGTTGGGCCCTGGGCCCTGAAGGGGGGTGGATTTTAATATCCCACATCGGTTGGGGAGGAGAACAAAATACCCTTTATAAGGGTGTGGAAACTTCTCCCTAGCAAACGTTTTTTAAAAACCTTGAGGGAAAACTCAAAAGGGACAGCCCAAAGAGGACAATATCTGCTAGTAGTAGGCTTGGGCCATTACAACTGGAAAACTAGAATACCTTTTCCTTCATTAAATTTTGCTCCAGTTATACTTCTTTTCTTCAGTTTTCGTTACAAAAAATGCGTATTATTTTAATGTAGGCTGAGATAGAAACTTTGAAGCAAGAGAGGGTGAGACTGATTGAAGAAAAGGAAGGTCTTGAGATTCAGAGTCGTAAACTTGCAGAAGAAGCCTCATATGCGAAGGAATTAGCTTCAGCTGCTGCAATTGAGCTCCAAAACTTAGCTGAAGAAGTGACCAAACTTTCTTATGAAAATGCCAAACTTGCTGGTGACCTTACAAATACTAAGGACACTTACTGCAGATCATGCTGTGCACAAAGGTCTTATGATTCAAAGCACCATATTGGTAATTCTAGATATCAAAGGGAAGCTGCACTTGAAAAGGCCATATTTGACAGAGACCAAAGAGAAGTTGAGCTATATCGAAGACTCGAAGAGGCGAAACGCCACGAAGAAGATATGGAAAATGAACTAGCAAATATGTGGGGTCTATTTGCTAAAATGAGGAAGTCTGAACTCAACATTGAGGATATGTCGTTCGAGGGAGTTCGTCCATCCTACCTTTTACAAGGCCGAGCTAAAAATGGATGCATCTCGTCTAATGGCCTCTCTAATAGACCGTCCGAAGACGACGCCATACACGTCGATGAAATGAGAGCTGGCTATAAGAAGGAGAGGATCAGATGTAGTAGCAGAGATCTGGAAAGTTGGAAGGTATGAATTCCATTCAAACAAGAACGTTGATATTGTATGCTATTATTACACGTGAAAAAAATGGTGAACTATGGTCATTCTATAGCCATTCACCCAATTTGAGACTGAATGAAATATATAAAAGCCTGAATGATCATCTCCTCATTCTTCCTCTTTCTTGGAATTTTGGAAGCATTGGGTAGGAAAAGAAATTCATAAATTCATAATAGGCGGTAAGAAAATGAGAGTTTTTTTTTTTTTTTTTTCAAAATGAAAAAGAAAATAAGAATAGTGTGGGATTTATTTCGATTTAAATCTTGTATTTTTTAAATATTTAAATTTAGTTCTGTACTTTATTATTTCGAGTATTTTTTTATTTTTCCAATAAAATTTAGAAATGTTTTGAAGAAATTAGTTTTAAACAGATAATAAGTAGAGCTTAATTATAAAAAAAATTATTAAAAGTATTATGATTAAATAAAATACAATGAGATTAAAAGTAATCTCGTAAATAAAGACTAAAATAGCATTTTAACCTTAATTTAAAAAAAAATTAAGGTTGTGATACTGATTTTACCTGTATTGTTTAAGTTTTTAGGTACCAGTAAAATTGTAATGTCCCAGCTTAGTTAGCAGGAGAACAAAACACTCCTTATAAGGGTATGGAACCTCCCCTAGCAGAATCATTTTAAAGTCTTGAGGGAAAACTCGAAAGAAAAGGAGAACAATATAGCGGGGATTTGGGTCGTTATGTTACAATATGACAGAAAGAAAATTATGGAACCTTCCCTATCATAATCATTTTAAAGCCTCGAGGGAAAATCCGAAAGAAAAAGAGAACAATATAGTGGGGATTTGGGTCGTTATGTTATAATATGACAGAAAGAAAATTATGGAACCTCCTCTAGCATAATCATTTTAAACCTTCGAGGGAAAACTCAAAAAAAAAAGAAAATAATATAGTAGGGATCTGGGTCGTTATGTTACACTATGATAGAAAGAAAATTTAAATATATGACGTTGTATATTAATTATAATTGAGTTAATTGTTACCTAATTTATGAAGGAATATTTTGTGCAAGAATAAAGCTAGAATAGCTTTTTAAGTAAACCTAATCATTTTATTATTTATTTATCTTACACCAAACATTCTTTAATTATTAAATATAATACGCACTCAACAATGGATTACAGCCAAGAACCGGTTTGGATTTGCAGAACCGTGTTGCCAAACAAGGCTTCAGGTTGATTGGGAACAAGCGTAAAGACTAAAGAGGCCGCAATAAAGGAAGCTCCAAATGGCCGATCTTTTGTCCCTACAACTGACACTTCCATCGCCTTCAGTTCCATTCACTGCTTCGAAGCACAAGATGCCAACCAAATCCATGGCTGCTTCTGTTTTTGGAAGCGCCGCCACTGCCGCCGCCGCCTCATCAACCACTCGTTTCCTCTCCTCAGCCGCCAGAGCTACACTATCTTTCTCTTCACGTTCATCATCACTCCTTTCTCGCTCCTCGTCATCGTCGTCTCTCAAGTCTCTCGGATCGTCTCCTTCTATTTCTCACCTTTTTCTGAATCAGGTTCTCTCTCTCTCTCTCTCTCCATGTGTGTGTTTGTTTAGGTTAACGATACTTATGTTCGCTGATCGTTTCGGTTTCTTCTTGTTTTCACGGGTTTCAGGGGAGACCGAGTTCTCGTGTATCCAACAGAGGATTCAGTGCGGCGTCTAATCCGAAATGCCTGTCATCGGATCCTGAGCAGTTGAAGAATGCTAGAGAAGATATCAAGCAGCTCCTGAAGACCACATTCTGCCATCCTATTTTGGTATGTCTGTGGTTCATGATATTATCTATTTACTACTATTTTCTCTGTTCAACTTGAACCGTGTGGAACTATTTGTATACGAGTTTCTCGTAATATTTGATTTTTTTTTTCTCACTTCATTGCGACTGGATGTCTTACTCACAATAATTGCCTGTTTATATTCGTTCTAACTACCGCGCTTAAGTTGAACTGGAATCATAGTTAGTGATGTTCGTGGAGTTTTTAAAGTTTTGAGGAGTCTATAGTCATGTCATTAAAGAATTGGTTTATCAATTTGTTTGGTGGAACTCCTATCCACGGACATGTATTCAGACGTTTCTTCCTTCCCTGTAGGTACGCCTAGGTTGGCATGATGCTGGAACTTACAATAAAGATATTGAGGATTGGCCACAGAGAGGTGGAGCTAATGGAAGTTTAAGATTTGATGTTGAACTGGGACATGGTGCTAATGCTGGTAAGTTTTCAACAATAACCGTGCATTACATGTTGATGGTGTTCATTCTAATTGACTGGTTTTGCAGGTCTTGTTAATGCCTTGAAACTCATTGAGCCTATCAAAAAGAAGTATTCTAACGTGACATATGCTGACCTATTTCAGTTGGCTAGTGCTACAGCTATCGAGGTCATTATAGCTATCTCTGGAACTAAGTTGAATCCTTGACTGAAATTAGAAAATGATCGAATGTTCTAATGATTTGATTTAACTCCTATACAGGAGGCTGGGGGACCCAAAATTCCCATGAAGTATGGAAGGGTGGATGTTGTGGGGCCAGAGCAATGCCCTGAAGAGGGAAGGCTTCCTGGTTAGTAGACTGTATTTACCTACAAGCGCTAATTCTAATTTCTATTAAATAATTAGCGAATCAGTTTCTAGTAATTGGCTGTCTTATGGGAGCCTTAGTATTTGAATTTGCAGATGAAGCCTGAAGGAATTATTCTGATGCTAAAATCCAATCGTAGGATTCATTGAAAATGACATTTTGAATCTCTATCATTTCATTCTGCAACCAAATCAAATGTTATAATGTCATGTTGAATGATTGAATATTGTGGTGTGAATTATGGTCAGGTCAACATGTTAATGATTAATGAATTTGTCAAATCTGTAGATGTGTATGGCATGTTTTCTTACCTTTCCAGCAATTTTCTTGTTACTCTGTAAATTTTGAAAAAAGTGCTGGTGCATTACCTTATTCTGCTTGAAGATATAATTTGTCATTTTAGGATGAATTACAAAAGAGAATTTTCTTGTTTCATTATATTTGTGTGTTGAGCAGTTTCTGATATTTTATTGCAAGATGCTGTGTCTATCAACTCACTCTTGCCTCACTATTTCCCACAAATTGTTAAGAACTAGTCTTTGTTCAGATGCTGGTCCTCCGTCACCTGCTGCACATCTACGAGATGTTTTCTACAGAATGGGGTTGAATGACAAGGTATCATTAATCAGACTATTTGAGTAAATGCTTTTTGCTTGGTTGCTTTGTTTGATACAAGGTTTCTGGATCTTTAGGAAATAGTTGCATTATCCGGGGCACACACCTTAGGGAGATCTAGGCCAGAACGCAGTGGTTGGGGCAAGCCAGAGACCAAATATACGGTATATTGCCATCATCATGCTGTGAATAGTTAAAAAGCGCATTTCTGTGACTCAACAAATTATTGTCTTTCTGACTGTTAATTTTGTGGAATGAACGTTCTTTTCATTGTCTGGGTGCATGCGTGTGTGTGTGTATATATTCATACTGTTAAGAAACTTATTATTAATGTTTATTTTAGTTTCTAAAAATATGAAACTATACGTTAATTGTGGAGGAAAATATGAACAATAAGTAAGATATAACAAACTTCCAAACAAAGTCTGAAAGCTATAATTTTTTTGATAAGAAAGTCTAAAGATCACTATTAATTCACCCCAATTAGTGTTAATTGAGGAAGGGTAGTAATTACAAAAGGTTATGGTGAAAGAACTTCAAAAAAAAGGCTTTACAAGTCCTATGAGATTTCAAAGATCCACAAAAAGCTGCAAAAGAATAGCAACAAAAGCCTTAGTCCTGTAGACCACTAAGCATATGGAGAATGAAATCTTTTACATTATTTGAAAAGAGCGCATGATAGCTGAAGTAGTTCAAGAAATGGATCCAAAACCTTTAATATAGTATAGGATGCTAATGAATGAGTGGTTGGGATCTTGAATATGTACGAGCTGCACCGTCCTAGGTATGTAGAGATGGCATTCATCTTCTGAATTTATCCTTCAGGATTACTCAACAAGAGATAAGGACCAAATAAAACTTCTACTCTCTGTGGGCACTTAGATTTCTGACAATTTTCTTGGAGACCAATGTGATTACCACATTTGTGGCAGCGAGTTCATAATGTAAAAAAACTTCAGTTGACGAAATTGAAGTCAACCAAATTGCCCACTTCCATCAACTAGTCCAGAAGATTAGGACTTAGTTTGTCCTGATTTATATAACAAGTGACAAATTATTCAATTTATCTTTTATTTAAATTTGTTCTCATATCAACTAAGCTTTCTGGCTTTAATCTTGCCATCTCAGACATTGTTGATCTCCACCCTCAAGATCTTGGGAGCTACTATAACCATCAAGGCCAGTAGACCACCTAAGAGATTCTACTTCATACTTATTAGCAATGTTTTTGAAGTAGGATAGGTAAAGCAATTCTATCGAAAGTCTTACCTAATGGGAGAGAGCTTGATTTATTCACACCAACCAGGACCAAGATTGATTGGCATTTCTTACAAACTTAATTGACGCACCCAGTGAGAGACTGAAAATACTCCTAATAAGCACCTCTCCCCATGTTCCGTTTCATATCACATCATTCTCCTCTCTTTGGACAAATCCCCCCCTATTGTGCACAATGCTTGAGAGCGCACTCTAAGCCTATTACAGTATCACTGGCATATGATAGACTAAACAATCTCCCTCTGGGGGCCCTACATTATCTTGACTGGACATCATTTTCCATAGAAGTGCATGCTGGCCAAGCTTTATTTATTGTTCGACCAGACAATTTAAATACCCAGTTTTAATTATTTTCAAGTCAGCAATTGCTTATAAATCAATCTTGAAATTTTAGAAATGAGACATGCTATGCTGTATTTGGTTTTGGATCTTCTGGCAAATGATGAACCAGATTGACATTCCTTCTGTAATATGCTAGTTTTGTTTTCATACGATGAAGTACAGATGGACTATCACTTGATATGTTGAACCTGATATCTTTTTTAGCTCTATTTGCGAAGATTTCATACTTGAGTATACCTCGTCTTTCCAACCATATGTTATTTTGAACCATCGTCATTGCTTTAAATTTGTGACTGCATTTTAGCTGTGCTATTCTCAGGAGATTCCTTTTGTTTTGATTTTTCCTTACTGACAGAAAGATGGACCTGGTGCACCCGGTGGGCAATCCTGGACTGCACAATGGTTGAAGTTTGACAACTCGTATTTTAAGGTTTATGCCATATTGGCTTCGTTTTATATGTTCTAAGAAGTTGGTGAACTTGTTTTTGCTTACTTTGTTTGGTCCATATATATAGGATATCAAAGAAAGGACAGATCAAGAATTACTGGTGTTGCCAACTGATGCTGTTCTCTTTGGAGATCCATCATTCAAGGTAAAACAGTGGTGTCCATCCCCCCACCCCATCATTGCTCCCTTCATGAGGCATGACATTATCTTGGTGAACAAGAAACATCTTCAATGATGTTAATCTTTCATAAAGCAATCAAAAGGCTCAATTTGGTTTCTTCCATATACTAATATTGTGTTACAGGTTTATGCTGAAAAATATGTTGAAGACCAAGAAGCATTCTTCAAAGACTATGCGGAAGCCCATGCTAAACTCAGCAACCTTGGTGCTAAATTTGACCCTCCAGAGGTTCTCGCTCTTGATAATCATTATTTATCTTGTTTAGAATGGCAGGCGTTTATGAATTACTAAAATTCCTTTTATAGAATATTTTTCCTTGATGGGCTTTCCTCTTATTAACGCTCTTTGATGTCATCCAACTAAAATAGATTGCTTATAAATTAGATTGTGGATACCATGATTATCAGTTGAAAAAAAAAAGTACCTTTTGATTGAAAACTGCATTTTGTTGATCACAGGGTATTGTGATTGATGATGCATCTTCGACACCTGCATGAGAGAAGTTAGATGCTGACAAATACTCGCATGGAAAGGTTGTATACATTACAAACTTTCATATTTGCAATTCATTTCTTTGCATACTAGAAGTCTTAAGAAATTCTCATGGCTTCGTTAAAAGTTGAAGAACCTATATTCAACCCTGTCAACAGTGATGTCTTCTAAAACTTCAGGTCTTAAATGAAGTAGAATGAAACAAAATTCAACAGTATTGCATATTTGATTTGCAGAGAGAGAGCTATCAGACACAATGAAGCAGAAGATTCGGGCAGAATACGAAGCTTTTGGTGCAAGTCCAGATAAGCCTTTATCAACGAACTTCTTTCTAAATATCATTGTTGTGATTGCTGTTTTGGGAATTTTGACATCCCTGCTTGGAAAATAATTTGAGTTTTTTAATCTATTTTCGAAATGGTCTGTTTCTCAACAAAATTTCTTATGATTTCACGATTTATTTCTTCTAGTTACCTCCTCGAACATAAACTTAACTAGATCTTTGAGCGACTAACAAGCCACAATGGTCTGTGGATGGGTAAAAATATTAGGATGAGTCATCATTGAGGATATAATTATGAATTTGAATGTGTTTAATCATGATTAGGTGTAGTTTTTAGTGTCCTGGCCACTTTCTTTAGCTTTAGATACACGGAAAGTAGCACCCACATTATGCTTCTCAAAAAGTAGATGAACTAAAATATTAAACGATATTATACGATATTATAAGAAGCTGTGTTCAGAAAGATTAGTTCAAGCATGTAAAGTAACCTATTACATGAAATTGTTTGAACATGTGAAATAATGTGACCGATGATTTTATATCATTGGATGTACGGAGAGATTATTTGACTATTTATTCATACTTAGGACGACTTAGGACGTGACGATGACATATTAGTTGCCATAATGTATATTTTTTTTGCCTATAAAATCTTTGCCATCCATTTCTTTTATAAATCCTCCTCAGGCTCATTTAGGAGAAGAGTGAATATAAGATTGCAGTTCTACACTTAATAGGCAAGACCGACTCTTTTTAATGTTGCTTATTATGGTAATTCTGAAGACAATTGAATGAATTAAAGGACTAAGATCCAACCTTCTCTTTCTACCTTCACAGTTTTCTAGTCTTTTAAAATTCTTTTGTGGTTATTTCTAGTGGTTGATGAACAGATGTTTCTGACCAATTTAAAGTTGGCCATGCTGTAGAAGGTGGTAACGTGGAAGGTAATTCGTATCGATTCAATCTTTATATTTATAGTATCAAAATAGATGATCCTCATGACATGTCATGTTTTGATCGTTGGTATGATCCTCACGACATGTCATGTTTTGATCGTTGGTATCTATAATGGGTTTGAATATTGAATATCTTTCGTAGAAATTTATTTAAAATTTAGTCCATTAAAATAATTATAAAAATGGTAAATAGATAATAATTGAAAGCAATTAAAAGTAATTTGCATACTGAATATAAAGTAATTAATGAGTGATTGATTGACAGAATCATAGTTTTTTTTTTTTTTTTTTTTTTTTTTTTTTTTTTTTTTTTTTTTTTTTTTTTTTTTTT